GACTGGGCGACTTGGAAGGCGCTGAACAGACTGCGCTCTGGCACCACAAGATGCAGAGCCAACCTCAAGAAATGGGGCTACAAAGTGGAATCCACAACATGCGAGTGTGGAGAAGAGCAAACTACTGACCACCTGCTGCAATGCAACCTGAGCCCTGCCACATGCACAATGGAGGACCTTCATGCAGCAACACCAGAAGCACTCCAAGTGGCCAGATACTGGTCAAAGGACCTTTAATCAACTACCAAACTCACAAATTTTGTATTCTGTCTGTTTGTTTGTTTGCTTTGTTCTGTTAGAAATATAATATTTGACTGGTTGCCCTGACACGACAAATAAATACCATAGTTTTGCCTAGCTCACATTGGACTAGTTTGTTTGCCATAAGGGGGACCTTGTCGAAAGCCTAACTGAAGTCCAGATATGCTACATCTTGAATGAACTGGGTGAAATGCTAGGGCCATGGAGTTTCCTAAGAAGTCAGACTTGGTTCTCAGTAGCCACAATCATATATACATGACTATCAACACAGTGCATAATACGCATGGGTCTTATCAACAAAATCGCAATTTTGAGCACTCTCAGTTATTGAGGAATACAATTTTTTGGGTTGTATTTTCTTAACTTATTAATGGTTCTTTATATTACATGGCAACCGGCTAATCAAGAGCATACAGTCTGGTCCAGCTCTCTGTAAAACTTTGTTTAATTCATTCTGGACTTCAAGGATAATTTGTTTCACACGTTTCTGTCAAATATCAGAGTTCCCCCTCTCTAAGATTGATTTGCCTGGAAAGCTTGGGTTTTGAGCAGAAAATAACACATTCTGCACAAAATATACTATTTTCTGCACAAGAATAATTTTTGCACAAAATCCAAGCTTCCCCACACACACACCCAAGACATACAAAAACACAATTGGCAATAACCATTTTCATTGCCTCAATGAGTCGACAGCCCTTTTCTATTTATTTATTTATTTATTTATTTATTTATTTCACGTATTTCTACCCCGCCCTTCTCAACCCCCAAGGGGGGGACTCAGGGCGGCTTACAAAAGGCACAATTCGATGCCTACACAAACAATAAAAATAAAACATATATGAACAGCAATTAAAACAATTATAAACAATTAAAACAATAAATTATACATCACAATCAATAAAACCAATCTCATGCTCAAGGTTCATCGGCTCAGAATCCGTAAATTCATTCCACGTTGTCAGTTCCTATCAACTCTAGTCGTCATTGTCCTTTATCTATCTGCCAGGTTACCCAAAAGCCTGGTCCCAAATCCATGTTTTTAATTTCCTTATAAAAGAGAGGAGGGATGTCGATGATCTAATTTCCCTGGGGAGTGAATTCCACAGGTGAGGGGCCACCACCGAGAAGGCCCTGCTTCTCATCCCCACCTATCTCACTTGTGACATCGTTGAGATAGGGCCGAAAGCAGGGCCTCCCCAGAAGATCTGAAACTCTGAGACGGGACGTAGAGGGAGATGCGTTCGGACAGATATGCTGGGGCGGAGCCGTATAGGGTTTTGTAGGTCAAAACCAGCACTTTGAATTGTACTCGGAACTGGATCGGCAGCCAGTGGAGCTGACATAACAGAGGGGTGGTATGCTCCCTGTATGACGCTCAGGTGAGTAATCTGGCTGCCGCCTGCTGGACTAGTTGAAGTTTCCAAACAGTCTTCAAAGGCAACCTCACGTAGAGTGCGTTGCAGTAATCTATTCGGGATGTAACAAGAGCGTGGACCACTGTGGCCAGATCTGACTTCCCAAGGTACGGGCGCAACTGGAGCACAAGTTTTAATTGAGGCAAGAAAATATATGTTATTTGCATCTTGAGTATCAGTATAAAACATGTGTTTCCAAATATGGATTTCTCTCGGGATGATATCAGACGAAACTTTAAAGATATAATTTGGATTGGTTTTTTTTACCCTAGCATAAGTGTAGGAGGGCCATTACAATGATGCAGCAGGGCTTTAATCCTCTGAAAACAATAGCACCATGCCTTTTTCTCCTTCTCTCCCACATAATGTGCAATGTATCAGATCGCGTGGCATAATATTGTCATGCCTCTCATTCCTCTGCCCCCATAAGCTTGTTGCCAATGAGGCAAAGCAGTGGAGAGAAATACAAACCACAAAATGTCCAAGAAGTCGCTATTCATTTTAATTTTTAAATGGCCACAAAACTCTTGCTTTTTTTACCTGCAACCCAGAGTGTGTCATGTTACACAATCAGCATAAAATTGGCCCTGTTTAATCTATGGATTCTGCATTGATAGATTCCACCAGCAATGGCTTGATTTTAAAAAAAAATCCAAACCTTGATTTTTCCATTTCATGTAAGGGACTCTGACATTGTATATAAAGAATTTGAGCATTCATGGATACCAAAATTCTGGAATAAATATCAGTGGATACCAAACATCCATCATAGTTTGATACCAGTGTTATGGTTCTATCCTTGGGATTTGTAGTAAGGTACTTAGAATTCTCAGCTAGAGAGCTGTAATCTGTTTTCCCAAACTAGTGTTCCAAAAACTCTATTCCTTGGGAAATTACAAATCTCATGATTCATAGCCCCATTTTAACTGTCATGGTTTTATCCTATGGAATAGGATAAATTGAAAGTCACCTGGGAAGGTCAAGAGCTTGAACATTGTTTCCATCCTAAATATCTCGGTGTCACCTTAGATCAAACACTAGCATATCAGAAACACAGCTTGAACACCAAACCCAAAGTAGCTGCACGCAATAACGTCCTGCAGAAACTTACTGGCAGCATATGGGGTGCAGACCCAAAATTAGTAAGAACATCAGCCCTAGCCTTGTCTTACTCAACTGCCCAATATGCCTGCCCTGTTTGGCATAGGTCTGCCCATGTAAAGAAGGTGAACATAGCATTGAATGAAACATGCAGAATAATCACAGGACGTCTTAAACCTACACTTGTTGATCAATCCATTCCCTGCAGAGACCAGCCCACACCAGAGCTCCCTGTCAGCCATGGCCACCCCCAGCTCCTTCAAAGTCAATCCAGTCACTTCAATAAGTATTCCTGAGTAATAATAAATAAGCATTATTAAATAAGTATTATTTCTATAAGTTTTATTTATTATTCTATAAGTTTTATTTATTTATTATTATATCACCACTAAGTTCCCTATGATCATGACCATCATGAAGACAATAAGGCATACAGTCTGTCCAGCCACTTCCATGCAGTCCCACATGGTCTCAATCCATTCCCYGCAAAGACCAGCCCACGCCAGAGCTCCCTGTYRGYYRTSRCCACCCCCAGCTCCTTCARRGTCAATCCAGTCACTTCARTAAGTATTATTGAATAATAATAAGTATTATTCAAYAAGTATTATTTCTAYAAGTATTATTTATTGGCTACTCACCACTAAGTTCCCTATGACCATGACCATMATGAAGACAATAAGGCATACAGTCTGTCCRGCCACTTCCATGCARTCCCACATGGTCTCAATCCAYTCCCYGCARAGACCAGCCCACGCCAGAGCTCCCTGTYRGYKGTGGCCACYCCCAGCTMCTTCARAGTCAATCCAGTCACTTCAATAAGTATTATTGAATAATAATAAGTATTATTCAATAAGTATTATTTCTAYAAGTATTATTTATTGGCTACTCACCACTAAGTTCCCTATGACCATGACCATAATGAAGACAATAAGGCATACAGTCTGTCCGGCCACTTCCATGCAATCCCACATGGTCTCAATCCACTCCCCGCAGAGACCAGCCCACGCCAGAGCTCCCTGTTGGTGGTGGCCACTCCCAGCTACTTCAAAGTCAATCCAGTCACTTCAATAAGTATTATTCAATAAGTATTATTTCTATAAGTATTATTTATTGGCTACTCACCACTAAGTTCCCTATGACCATGACCATAATGAAGACAATAATGCATAAAGTCTGTCCAGCCACTTCCATGCAGTCCCACATGGTCTCAATCCATTCCCCGCAGAGACCGGCCTACGCCAGAGCTCCCTGTCGGCCATGGCCACTCCCAGCTACTTCAAAGTCAATCTAGTCACTTCAGTAAGTATTGTTCAATAAGTATTATTTCTATTATTATTTCTATTATTTCTATTATTATTTATTGGCTACTCACCACTAAGTTCCCTATGACCGTGACCATCATGATGACAACAAGGCATAAAAATCTATGTGTTATTTGCATCTTGAGTATCAGTATACCCTATACGGCTCCGGCCCAGCATACCTGTCCAAACATATCTCCTTCTATGTCCCACCTTAGAGTTTAAGATCTTCTGGGGAGGCCCTGCTCTCGGCCCCACCTTTATCACAAGTGAGACTGGTGGGGACGAGGGACAGGGTCTTCTCGGTGGTGGCCCCTCGCCTGTGGAATGCACTCCCCAGGGAAATTAGGTCATCATCATCCCTCCTCTCCTTCAGAAGGAAGTTAAAAACCTGGATATGGGACCAGGCCTTTGGGTAAACTGGCAGATGGATAAAAGATAATGACAACCAGAGTAGGAAAGGACAATGACAATGCTGGATGGATTATGGATTTATGAATTGGCGAACGTTGACCACAAGATGATTTTAATGCTGCTATTGTATTAATTGGATTGTTTTAACTAGTTATAACTGTTGTCGTTATATTGTATTTTGTATATTGTATTAAGTGAACTGTTGGGCATTGAATTGTGCCTTTTGTAAGCCGCCCTGAGTCCCCCCAGGGGGTTGAGAAGGGCGGGGTAGAAGCACTCCAAATAAAATAAATAATAATAAGGTCTGTCCAGCCACTTCCATGCAGCCCCACATGGTCTCAATCCATTCCCCGCAGAGACCAGTCCACGCCAGAGCTCCCTGTCAGCCATGGCCATCCCCAGCTCCTTCAAAGTCAATCCAGTCACTTCAATAAGTATTACTGAGTAATAATAAGCATTATTAAATAAGTATTATTTCTATAAGTATTATTTATTGGTTACTCACCACTAAGTTCCCTATGACCATGACCATCATGAAGACAATAAGGCATAAAGTCTGTCCGGCCACTTCCATGCAGTCCCACATGGTCTCAATCCATTCCCCGCAGAGGATGCGGAAGACAATAAGGAAGGAGTGGAAGAAGTCGTGCATGTGCCATCGCGGCAGCACACAGTCACTGGAAATCTTGCAGACACACTCTATGTAGCTTTTTCCAAAGAGCTGCATGCCCACCACAGCGAAAATGAAAACGATGATGGCCAACACCAGAGTAAGGTTGCCCAGGGCACCCACTGAATTGCCTATGATCTTGATCAGCATGTTGAGAGTTGGCCAGGATTTGGCAAGCTTGAAAACCCTCATCTAGGAAAAAAAATAAGACCCTGATGAATCACTGGTATTGTCTAGCTTTGGGAATCTGGGAATACCAGTCTCTAAAAAAGTAGCATTTCTAAGGTCAGAAAACAACAAGGTTCTACTTACAATTCCAAAACAATGTTTTTCTTTTGAGAATCTCAAACCCTAGTTAGCAATGATAATCACTAATCTTCATAAAGTCCCTTAGGAACATAGTTATATGTTTTTAACAGTTTTTGTATTGATTTTATAATGTTGTTTTTAAATGTTTTAATTATACGTTGCGGTTTGCTATGGCATCAATTGGCTGCCAATTTGTAAGCCACCTTGAGTCGCCTTCGTGTTTGAGAAAGGCAGGATAGAAATATTGTAAATAAATAAATATAATAATTGTGTCTAGGTCAGTTTAGGGCCCCTCAATTGCATTGGTATGCACAGCTTTGTGGAAATCTAGGTTGAGACTGAATAGTTACCCACATAATCCTAAATTTAAATGTTTTTAAACAAAATCTTGCTCAAAGGGCCCAATTTGGTTTTTAAATCCTTGTGTGTTATTGTCTACGTGTGAGTTATATTAATTGTATTATTTATTTTGATTATTGCTTGTTGTTTTTATTGATGTGTTGTTGGGCTTGGCCTCATGTAAGCCGCTCCGAGTCCCTTGGGGAGATGGTGGTGGGGTATAAATAAAGTTTTATTTATTACCGGGATTGTGGCGCAGCTGGCTGTCAGCTGCATTAAGATCGCTCTAACCAAAAGGTCATGAGTTCGAAGCCAGCCCGGGTTGGAGTGGATTTCCAACCATTGTGTAGCCTGTTGTCGACCTTTGCAACCTGAAAGACAGTTGCATCTGTCAAGTAGGAAAATTAGGTACCACCTTAAAACGTGGGGAGGCTAAATTGATTTATGAGGCCATAAAGAAAACTCCAACAAAACATTCCAGCGGGGAAGCATGTGGGGAATGCGGAAGTACTTCATTAGCGTTGCAGATGGACGATGAAAGCGACAGCTCGCCTGGCGGCCAGAAAAGTTAAATAGCCTCTGTGTATGTCTGTATATGTTTGTATGTCAAAAATTGGCATTGAATGTTTGCCATATATGTGTACACTGTAATCCGCCCTGAGTCCCCTGTGGGGTGAGAAGGGCGGAATATAAAAGCTGTAAATAAATAAATAATAATAAATTATTTATTTATTTGCACAGTGGTCCTAGAATATGTTCAGTCATGCTTTGCTAGATCTTTTGAAATTTAATGTGTTGGAAACCATTCGTGAATGTTAATCAGTTTTTAAAAAGTAGCCTTTTACATTTTAGCAACACCTTCATCTAGGCCCGTAGCCAGGATTTTGATTTGGGGGGTGTTGAGTTTGATTTGGGGGGGGGGGGGCTGAGGATCTACCCTAGCAAACCTTTTGTATCATTATCCCAATACCCTCATGCATATGGGATATATTGAGCATGGTGATCAGATCATGATATGAATAAACAAAACAGGCCTTCTTGTGGACCACCCTGAGAATTTCGTGGGCTGAAGCCCATCAACCCCCCCCACCACCACCACTACATACTAGGCCTGTGCGATTTGGTTCGTTAATTCGTTAATTCGTTAATAATTCGTTAATTTTACCATTTCCAAAGCGATATTGAAACAAATCTCCAAACCCGGAAGGGTTTATAAATATCGAACCAGAACCCCCATAGTTTTAACGAGCCTCCGCTCGTTTCGTTAATGGGGTGGAGGCTGCTGGAGTGCTGGTGCCTGGGAGCCAATCCGGCGCTCCCAAGCAGTGCACCATGGGTCCGTGGCTGTCTCTTTTTGATTGGCCGGCGAGCCCTTTCAAAGCGGCTCCGCGCGGCCCGTAGCTTGCTGCAGAGGGAGTTTGCATTGGGTTGGCTTGGCAATGGCTGCCTGCTAGCAACGAACTGGGATTGGATTCATTCCTTGCTGCTGTGAGTGCTGCTTGCTTCATTTGCTGTCTCTTGCCTGTGTTTGGTCCACATTTGGGCCATTTTTTGGTTAATTTTCCATTTTAAAATATTTTTAATATTATTTTTTAATATTATTTTTTAATATTATTTTAATATTATTCTTAAAAAATATTCTAAAAAAGAAAAGACTCTTCTGTTGGTGTGTGCTCTCATTTGCTGTATCCTGCCTGTGTTTGGTCATTTTTTGGTTAATTTTCCATTTTAAAATATTTTTAATATTATTTTAATATTATTTTTTAATATTATTTTAATATTATTCTTAAAAAAATATTCTAAAAAAGAAAAGACTCTTCTGTTGGTGTGTGCTCTCATTTGCTGTATCCTGCCTGTGTTTGGTCCACATTTGGGCCATTTTTTGGTTAATTTTCCATTTTAAAATATTTTTTTTAATATTATTTTAATATTATTTTAATATTATTTTTAAAAAATATTCTAAAAAAGAAAGACTCTTCTGTTGGTGTGTGCTCTCATTTGCTGTATCGTGCCTGTGTTTGGTCCACATTTGGGCCATTTTTTGGTTAATTTTCCATTTTAAAATATTTTTTAATATTATTTTAATATTATTCTTAAGAAATACCAAAAATATTCTAAAAATTCGTTAATATTTACAAAATTTCTTAAATACCAAAACTTTTTTTGGAAAGTTTTGTAATTATTTTAAATATCGAAACAAAAAAACACCCCAATTACAAATCGATTTTAGAAACAAATTTTTTCTTGATCAAACAGGCCTACTACATACCTGCCTTCATCCTATCCTGAGATGGGACAGGAGGAGTCAAAATCCGACCTAGTCACTAGAGTACAGAAGCAGCAGCTTCACTTACCAGACGGAAGGAACGCAGGACGGACAGACCCTGGACATTGGCAAGGGCAAGCTCAACCAAGCTAAGGGTGACAATAATGCTGTCAAAGATGTTCCATCCCACCTGGAAGTACTCATATGGATCAAGAGCAAGCAGTTTAAGCACCATCTCAGCTGTGAATATCCCCGTGAAGACCTGCAGAGAAAGATAATTCAAAGTAATATCAAGCTCAACAGGAGATGAAGAGGAGGAAACAAACAAACAAACAAACATTCTTGATGCCCACTTATTTTAAAACTATTCACATTCACTTGTATTTAACTGCTAAGACATATATTTAACTGCTGAGTAATTCAGACCAAGGTTGCATTTTGCATATGTTTCCCTGTGAGGTGTTATGCACATCAAAGTATTTGAAAATAACAATAATATGGGTATGTTGTGCCAGATATGCTTTTACTTTCCAGTGTTGATGGACAGAGCCATAATAACTTGGCAACCTATCACAGATCGGGCAAATCCCCCAGAAGCATGCTTGCTTGGAGTAATAATAATAATAATAATAATAATAATAATAATAATAATACTTTATTTATACCCCGCCACCATCTCCCCAAGGGACTCGGAGCGGCTTACATGAGGCCAAGCCCAACAACACATCAATAAAACAAGAAAGCAATAAACAAAACAATACAATGCAATACAAATTAATATATATCACATATAACAATAACACACAAGGATTTAAAAACCTATGGCCAGGCTGAATGTGATAGTTTAAAACTTTAAAAAAATAAATGCTGGGCATGAACAAGGTAAGATATATCTGTTAGGAGGGTTTTTAAAAAGTGAGGGGCGCAGTCCAATGCAATCCAATAGTTAAAGTGCATTCTGAGGACATATTGCTGGGAATTATTTCTTTATTCAGGGAAGGCACACTGGAACAGCCACGTTTTCAGGCTCCTCCTAAAGACTGCCAATGTTGGGGCATGCCTGATATCGTTTGGAAGTGAGCTCCAGAGTTGGGGGGCCACCACCAAGAATTAATTAAATGACAAAATAATCTAAGACTAGGATATATTGTATGACATGTTAGATCCTAAAGAAAGAAGCATAAACAACAAGTACTAGCTAAGGAATAAAAAGAAATGAGAACTGAAGAACTAGAACCGCTGCTGGGAACAAGCAAATCTCTCTGTAATGTGAAAAGGCCCAGATCATCCAAAGTAATTTGTTGAAAAAACTCACTATTATTACAAGATATGGTGAAGAACAGTATTACAGATGGTTATACACAGATTATAGCTTTCCAAACTGTGTGTCATGGCACGTTAGTGTCCTATCTGCAGTGCATAGGTATGTTGCACAAACATAATGAAAAGCCTCTGTGAAATAAGCAATCTATATAAATAAAAATGTAATGTTCATTTGTGGGATTAACATAATTCAAAAATCACTGGACGAATTGACACCAAATTTGGACACAATACAGCTATCAGGCCAATGAGTGACCATCACTCATAAAAACACTGAAAAACACAGCAGAAGGGACTTAAAAAGCCCCAAAAAGCTAAATGACGAAAAGCTAAATGACAATACAGAAAAAAGGGAAGAAAGAGGGAGGGAAGGGGAGAAAGAAAGAAAGAAAGAAAGAAAGAAAGAAAGAAAGAAAGAAAGAAAGAAAGAAAGAAAGGAAAGGAGGAGGAGGGAGGGAGGGAGGGAGGAAGGGAGGGAAAGAAAGAAAGAAAGAAAGAAAGAAAGAAAGAAAGAAAGAAAGAAAGAAAGAAAGAAAGAAAGGGAGAAAGAAGCATGGGAGCAAAGAGAGAAGGAAGGAAAGAGGTAGAGAATTAAGAAAGGAGAGAAAGAGGGAGGAAAAGAAAAAAGAGGAAGGTAGGAAAGTTAGAGAAGGAAGGAAGGAGAGAAAGAAAAAAGGGAAAAAAGGAAGGAAAGAGGGAGCGAAGGAAGGGGGAAGATGTAGAGAAAGAGGGAGGGAAGGAAGGAAAGAGAGAAGGAAGAAAAGAGAGCAGAAAGAAAGAAAAAGGGGAAAGGAAGGAAAGAGAGAGAGAAGGAAGAAGAGAAGGAAAGACGGGAAGGAAGGAAAGAGGGAGTGAAGGAAGGAGGGAAAGAAGGAGGGAAAGAGGGAAGGTTGGCCAAAGCAACGCGTGGAGGGTACAGCTAGTCTATATAAATAAAAATGTAATGTTCGTTTGTGGGATTCACAGAACTCAAAAATCACTAGGGGGATTGACACCAAAATTGGACACAAGACACCTAATAACCCAATGTATGCCTTTCACTCATGATTTTGTCATTTTGGAGTTGTAGTTGCTGGGATTTATAGTTCACTTACAATCAAAGAACATTCAGAACCCCACCAACAATGGAACTGAACCAAACTTAGCACACAGTTCCCCCATGACCAACAGAAAATACTGGAAGGGTTTGGTGGACAGTGTCCTTTGGTTTTGGAGTTGTAGTTCACCTACATCCAGAGATCACTGTGGACTCAAGCAATGATGGATCTGGACCAAACTCTACAAGAATACTCAATATGTCCAAATATGAACACTGGTGGAGTTTGGGGAAAATAGAATCTTGACATTTGGGAGTTGTAGTTGCTGGGATTTATAGTTCACTTACAATCACAGAGCATTTTTAACCCCACCAACAATAGAATTGGGCCAAACCTCCCACACAGAACCCCCATGTGGGCCACAGCAACGCGTGGCAGGGGACAGCTAGTCTATGTAAATAAAAATGTAATGTTCGTTTGTGGGATTAGCATAACTCAAAAACCACTGGACGAATTGACACCAAATTTGGACACAGTACAGCTATTAGGCCAATGAGTGACCACCACTCATAAAAACACTGAAAAAACACAGCGGAAGGAACTTAAAAGCCAAAAAAGCAAAAAGACGCTACAGTGCACGCACAAAAATGACTCCCCTGGCAAACAAAACACACAATATCATATCCACACTCTCTTCTGTACTACAGCGCCCTGCATCCCCTAGACCAGGCCCTTTAAGAAAGGGGGATGATTGAAATGCACTACTTCCAAGCTGCAAGCTTTCTTCACCTTGGATTTCTTTGAGAGCATCCTATTCCCTTAATATTTCCAATTTCCTATTCTTGGACTGCAACTCCCAGCAATCCTCCAGATAGATAAATTAGATAGAGAGAGAGAGATAGATAGATAGATAGATAGATAGATAGATAGATAGATAGGTAGATAAATCAAGAGGACTACTGAGAGTTGCAGTCCAAGAATAGGTAGAGAAGGAAGAACGGGGAGAAAGAAGAAGGGAAAAAGGTGGGGGAGAAGGAAGAGAAGAAGTGAAGGATGGAAGGAGAGAGAGAGAGAAAGAAAGGAAGAAAAAAGGAATGAAAAAGGAAGGAAGGAAGGAAGGAAGGAAGGAAGGAAGGAAGGAAGGAAAGAGGGAGGGAGGGAGGGAGGTAAGGAAGGAGAGAAAGAAAGAAAGAAGAGAAAGAGGGAGGAAAAGTTGGCCACAGCAACGCATGGCGGGCACAGCTAGTATGTTATATATATTTAAAATAACAATGGAAGGTCTTTGTGAGCTATGTTGTTATTACAATTTATGTAGATGTCCATATCACTTATAAGGGGTTGATTTAACCTCTGGTTTGCTAGTAAACCTGAATTACGGTGTAGCAAACTAATGTATTTCTAATAAATGTGTTACCTAATATGAAATGTTTGGAAAGCTCTAGCATGGATGAAAGATAGCAGAGGAGTCAAAAAGGCACATCCATACTCAATGAAAGAGTATGCGTTCAACTCCATCTTGTTCTGTTTATCAGATGTCGAAGATTTCCGTCTGGCCATTGTTGGGAAACAAATGGACCTTGCCAGTTGTTACATCCTTATGTGATCAGGGTTTGTCCCTTTCTTGCAAGCCCCCCCCCCCCCAAGCTGTTTTCTATCAAATGAAAGCATGAAAAAGGCATCCAGTTTTCCTACCAGATTCCCCACAGACAACACATTGTTGAACTCTTCAGTCATTGGGTAGTGTTCCATGGCCATGAAGACGGTGTTGAGGACAATGCAAATGGTGATCCCCAAATCAACAAAGGGGTCCATGACAATAAGCTTCAAAATCCCCTTCACTTTTACCCACAATGGGCAGCAGTTCCACACAAGGACTGCATTGGCAAACTTATACCACCATGGTGGACACTTCTGATGAGCTTCTTCCAGTTCTAAAAATTAAAATCAAGAAAGATCTTCACCACCAAAGACACTTTTACGAAGCAAAATCAACCATTACAAATACTGTTAATTTTTAATTCAACTAACATTTTAAATGGATACCTAATTTTTCATTTAATATCAGCATTGATGTAGAACTTCCAAAACTTTGAGGTTGGCACAACACAAAATGTTAGCTTAATGCTATAAACATTAAATATTATATAACATTATATAAATATTAAATAAATATTATATTTGTTGTTGTTCATTCGTTCAGTCGTCTCCGACTCTTCGTGACCTCATGGACCAGTCCACGCCAGAGCTCCCTGTCAGCTGTCACCACCCCCAGCTCCTTCAAGGTCAGTCCAGTCACTTCAAGGATGCCATCCATCCATCTTGCCCTTGGTCGGCCCCTCTTCCTTTTACCTTCTACTTTCCCTAGCATAATTGTCTTCACTAAGCTTTCCTTTCTTCTCATGATGTGGCCAAAGTACTTCAACTTTGTCTCTAGTATCCTTCCCTCCAGTGAGCAGTTGGGCTTTATTTCCTGGAGGATGGACTGGTTGGATCTTATCGCAGACTGGACATTGCTCTCCTCCCAAGAAGTAATATTATATACATTATATAAATTATATATTATATACATTATATAAATATTATATAAATATAAATATAAATTATATAAATATTAAATATTATATAAATGTTATATAACATTAAATCAAAGAATTTTCTTACTTTCATATTTCATCTAAAGCCAGAAACGGGTACATTGAATCTTAGTTGGAAGACACTTGTGGCTTTCATTTGAGCAATAAAGATTACTGCTGGCAATGATATTCCTGTGACGAAGCCAAATTTAGCTTCTGAACTACAGTTTTTAGGTTAGAGAAATGTCTGCCATAAAAAGCAGATGATCTTTTTTTATAGAAAACATAAAAATAAATTCAGCTGCACCCGAAGTCAAGGAGGGATTTACCTTCTAGGGTGTGGGAAACCACACTGAGGGCACTCCCAGCTCGCTTCTCCAGACCTGTATTCACCTCAAGGTGGTTCTGATCAGACTTCTCATGTGCTTCCATTGAATCTGACTGCAGAAGAGAACAGGATCCAGGGTAAGATAATTGTTGGGTTGCAATAATCAAATTATTTCAGCAAAATAACCCCAAGCTTCTGGTCGCTGGTCTGGTCTGACCTACGAGAAGCACTGCCTGAATATCAAGCAAAAAGCTGGCACTAGAAACAATATCATACGAAAGCTGACTGGCACAACCTGGGGATCACAACCAGACACAGTGAAGATATCGGCCCTTGTGCATTGCTTCTCTGCTGCTGAGCATGCATGCCCAGTGTGGAACACATCTCACCACGCTAAAACAGTGCATGTGGCTCTTAATGAGACATGACGCATTATCACAGGGTGTCTGCGTCCTACACCACTGGAGAAATTACACTGTTTAGCCGGTATTGCACCACCTGACATCCGCCAGGAAGTAGCAGCCAATAGTGAAAGGACCAAGGCAGTGACATCTCCAGCTCATCCTCTGTTTGGGTATCAGCCAGCACGTCAATGACTTAAATCAAGAAATAGTTTTCTAAGATCTACAGAGACACTCGCTGGAACACCTCAGCAAGCGAGAGTCCAAAAGTGGCAGGCTCAAACCCAGAACCTCAATCAATGGCTGATACCAAATGAGAGACTCCCCCCTGGGCACACAGAAAACTGGGCGACTTGGAAGGCACTGAACAGACTGCGCTCTGGCACCACAAGATGCAGAGCCAACCTTAAGAAATGGGGCTACAAAGTGGAATCCACGACAAGCGAGCGTGGAGAAGAGCAAACTACAGACCATCTGCTGCAATGCAACCTGAACCCTGCTACATGCACAATAGAGGACCTCCTTATAGTAACATTAGAGGCACTCCAAATGGCCGGCTACCGGTCAAAGGACATTTAATCAACTACCAAGCTTGCAAACTTTGTGCTTTGTTTGTTTGTTAAAAAATGCGATACAACTGTTTGGTTTGCTCCTGACACAATAAATAAATAAACCCCAAGCTTATAGTGGGTTTCTGTACAGGTGATGTCAGAAATTCAACATACGTTATATCACACTGTTCTAGGAAATGGGGAAAAAAACTACCTGGAGAATAGCCCATTATCCTTTTATACCAATCAGTCACAGCAGAACATGTTGTCAAATGGTGTGGTAGGGCTCTGATGTCTAAGAATAGGCATATCTGGAAGATTTGCTTTTTCTCATTTTAGAATTTATAACATCTCGAGTTCTTTCAGTCACGTTTATGAAGATATTTGCTAAACTTCCTACTAAAAGTCAAGTGACATCACATACCTCATCCACTGTGGCTGACCGCTCTAGCACCAAGCGTGGGATGACCGGCCGATTGGAGTCTTTTGGCCCATCCGGATCACTGTGCCCCTCTTGATCTGACTCCCCTTTATTCTTCACTGCAATACTCTCTGTTGAGCTGCTGTTTGCTATTTGTTCTTGAAACTACAAAGAAACCAGAAAAAATATAGGTTAAGGACCCAGGACCTCATCACATTAAATGTTAGTCCATTTCTCAGCGGGTCCCATCAAATGATGTTTGTCCTTTTTCATTGTCAACCCATTGGAATTGGTATGCAAAAGGTTTTAGAAATTAAACATTTGGACATGGGTTTCATATCGAGTTTTAAAACATAAAGTGCATAACATGTGTTGCTTTTTTGTGTGAGTGGTGAAACAGTAAACATTTAGTTCCCCGTGTTGTGATGTCTGCAGGTGGTCCCTGTAGATCCCCAGGATTTTTCATGAAGGGAGCCATTATCATTTATCTCTAACTAAATTATGAAAAAGGACCTCCGTAATGGCTACTTTGAAGTCTTCAGTCCTTTTTAAAAATGTGTTTTTATGTATGTATATATTTATTTATTTAAAACATTTATATTTTGCCCTTCTCACCCCGAAGGGGACTCAGGGCAGAGCACAGCATATATACGGCAAACATTCAATGCCGGGACACAAATTCACATACAATACATAAACATTAAAAAACATTTATCAAAATATTAAAATACACCATTTTAAACCGTCCTAGTCATCCGCGTAAAAACACTGCCTCCAGAAAATCCTGCAAATCTCTTGGGAAGACAAGTGGACAAATGTCAGCGTGCTGGAAGAAGCAAAGACCACCAGCATTGAAGCGATGGTCCTCCGCCATCAACTCCACTGGACCGGACACGTTGTCCGGATGCCCAACCACCGTCTCCCAAAGCAGTTGCTCTACTCCAAACTCAAGAATGAAAAAAGAATGTTGGTGGACAGGAAAAGAGATTTAAAGATGGGCTCAAAGCCAACCTTAAAAACTCTGGCATAGACACTGAGAACTGGGAAGCCCTGGCCCTTGAGCGCTCCAGCTGGAGGTCAGCTGTGACCAGCAGTGCTGCAGAATTTGAAGAGGCACGAATGGAGGGTGAAAGAGAGAAACGTGCCAAGAGGAAGGCGTATCCGGGACCGCCTTCCACCTGGAAACCAATGCCCTCACTGTGGGAGAAGATGTAGATCAAGAATAGGGCTCCACAGTCACCTATGAACCCACCGCAAAAACACCAACCTTGGAGAACCATCATCCTCCGACTACGAGGGATCGCCTAAGTAAGTAAATTGTTATTTGCTGGTTCACACCAAATGACAACGATAACGAAACTTTACTGAACAGATGTAAGATCTACAAATCTTGCGATACTACACCTGTGAGACTTCCATCTGGCAAAGAGTGACATAGAAATTACAACAAATTGGGAAGAGCAAAGCTTCCATGGTTAGATGTCTCAAAATGGATTACTTTAACAGTAAGATTTTTGTGTCATGGGGAGTGTATGCATCCTGTAGTAAAAAAAATGGAGGATGCATACTAATTAAATGTTTCAAACTTTAAATGTGATGAAGTCCCCAGAGTGAAATCTGAGAAATGGCATTTTTAGGCCAGTAGATTTGTGCCACACTGAGCCAGTGTTAAGACTCATTGCCCTCCTTCATACAGACATGCACAAACATACACCCTGTACCACCAGGAAGCAGAATATCTTCTCTATTTATGTATGATAATATCAAATGTATTAAAATAAAATATTTGGAAGGGGAAATGATTGTAAATCACTTTTAGTATTAATACAGTACTTTGGAGCACACACACACACAACAGTGGGTGATTACATAATCGTTGTTGTTGTTGTTGTTGTTGTTGTTGTTGTTGTTGTTGTTAATATTCCGCTCTATCTTCCAAGGGGTCTCAGAGCAGATTACAGCATACAAAGATAGGCAAACATTCAGTGCCTTTAATACAGTGAAATAACAATGGCATACAAATACACTGAACAACAGTAAAGTTTCCCCTTTCATCTCCGGCTTCTGGAGGCAGTGCTCAATTACAGCCATCAGGAGGTGCTCTTTTTTTATTTCCAAGCTAAGGAGCCTATTGTCCGTAGACACCTCCTGGTTGTGTTGCCGGCATGGCTACATGGGCAGTTTTTCCTGCCTTCCTGCTGAAACAGTATTTATTGATTTACTCACATTTGCATGTTTTCAAACTACTAGGTTGGCAGGAGCTAGGGCTAACAGCGGGAGCTCACCCTGACCCAAGGCTTGCGAACTGCCAACCTTTAGGTCAGCAGATTCAACAGTTCAATGGTTTAATCTGTTGTGCCACCACAGCCATGGTAATCATGACAATAGCCCTATAAAATGTCAGTATTATTATTATCTTTCAGATGATCCAACGGGCGGCAGCCAGGTTAACTGGGGCTCCTTACAGAGAGAGGTCATCCCTCCTGTTCACTGGCTGCCATTCATCTACCGGACACAACTCAAGGTGCAGGTTCTTACCTACAAAGCCCTGAACAGTTTGGGACATGCCTACCTGCGTGACCACATCTCTGTATACGAACCCACACGATCCCTTCGATCATCCGGAGAGGCCCTGCTCTTGATCCCACCAGCATCGCAGGCACGATTGGTGGGGACGAGAGAGAGGGCCTTTTCGGTGGTGGCCCCTCGACTCTGGAACTCACTCCCTAAAGACATCAGACAGGCTCCAACTTTGGCAGTCTTCAGGAGGAACTTGAAGACGTGGCTGTTCCAGTGTGCCTTCCCGGAATAATGACCCATAGCACTTTGTCCTCCAAAGCACTTTACATTTCTTTAAGTCTGCTCATATGCCCTTCCACAAACACCAGTATCACCTTCCGTTCATGTCCCAGCATTATTTCCAATTTTAACTCTACATTTGGCCTTCCCACTGTTTTTAACTATGTGTTGTTTTATTGATAATGTTGTTTCTTATTGTCTATGTGTTTTTAATTGCTTGTATTGTTGTTTTTATAGCTTGTATTGTTGTGTTTGGGCTCGGCCTCAGGGAAAACCAGCTGATCCCTTGTTGTGGTTCATTCGTTCAGTCGTCTCCGACTCTTCGTGACCTCATGGACCAGCCCACGCCAGAGCTCCCTGTCAGCCGTCACCACCCCCAGCTCCTTCAAGGTCAGTCCAGTCACTTCAAGGATGCCATCCATCCATCTTGCCCTTGGTCGGCCCCTCTTCCTTTTACCTTCCACTTTCCCCAGCATAATTGTCTTCTCTAAGCTTCTTTTTTCTCATGATGTGGCCAAAGTACTTCATCTTTGCCTCTACTATCCTTCCCTCCAATGAGCAGTCGGGCTTTATTTCCTGGAGGATGGACTGGTTGGATCTTCTCGCAGCCCAAGGCACTCTCAGAACTTTCCTCCAACACCACAGCTCAAAAGCATCGATCTTCCTTCGCTCAGCCTTCCCTAAGGTCCAGCTCTCACATCCGTAGGTTACTACAGGGAATACCATGGCTTTGACTAGGCAATGGATCTTTGTTGCCAGTCTGATGTCTCTACTCTTTACTATTTTATCGAGACTGGACATTGCTCTCCTCCCAAGAAGTAAGCGTCTTCTGAGATGGTAGCGGGGTACAAATAAAGTGTTGTTATTATTATTATTATTATCTTTATTATTTAATATCTAAATGGAAAATAAGATATTTATAAATATAGAAATGATAAAAAAGCGAATTAGAAATAAATATTTTCCAATAAAAAAACCCCCATAGTTTATTGCACTTAATAAATGCTCCGGGATTATTTTAAAATTATGGTACTTATTTCTAAATCTACATATATAGATGTAAATCATCATATGCAAAATTCAAATTTGCATCCTTTTTGTCCTTTTCTTGGGAGCTGCTTTCCCTCTTCTCATACTTGTGGGGTGCCTTTTTTGACATTAATATGTCTCTTCATTTAGCTGAAATGAATGTATGTGTTTGCTTTTATATAAATAACATGCTATAGCTTACTACTAGTATTACTTCTGAAACTTCATCGTCATCCCTGTATTGCAAGTTTTGTTGTTTGGATGAAGTGGGAGTGTATTTAGACTTTTTTTTTTTTTTGCATTATGAACTGGCGTGTGTGTGTTTGTGGAGTATCTTTAAAAATCCCAGCATAGAATTCCCAAGCAACATATATTTTTTTCCAAGGAGGAAAAAAAAACCTATACTGTTTTAGAAACTGTCCTGCAAGACATAGCTGGATATGGAATGTCTCACAAGCCTAGTCTTCCTCCTAGGCCTGAAGAGACCTTCCCTGCCTGGAAATAGAAAACCCACTTCCGAATGTTTGGAGATTAGAAACACAAGGCCGTGGTATTAAGACACCATTCTGCATCTGCCTTCACCAATGAGGACACTGGTTAGCACAACCCAAAAATTAGATTTGGGAGGGTGGCCTGGGGTCAAGCAGCCGGAAGCAGCTGGCAAGGCAGAAAAGCTGTTACAAACACCAGCGTGCTAGAGATGCCTTCACTTATAGATTTTTTTAAAAGAGCAGAAGAGGACACTGATGTCCATAAGAGCAGCAAACATAATACGTTGGCATTAAAAGAAGAAATAAGTCTTGCAAGTTGCATGCCAATGATCATTATGAATTGTCCTCTGAGGACTTTATCACACAGAGGTGGTGACCTAGCACAATTGCAGGATTGTCACCTTTGACAATGGTCCTTATTGCATTACATTGTCGCCAGTCTGCTACTTCCTTATGATTAAGCCGCCAAAGTGTGGGGACTTATCTTGTGCAGCGCAAAAGGGGGAGGCTGCAGAGTTATGCTGCCCCCCTGGACATGCAGCTTTGCACAAAGCATTGCAATTGCTCAACATCAGTGGGTGTGCGAAGCCGCCCATCATGATAACGGTAAATTGCCATTGTCCTGCATCACAAGTGTATGGTAATGTCTTGAGATTTTGTCCAACCAGTTCATACTTCAGGAAATAAAGCCAGATGGTTCACTGGAGGGAAGAATATTAGAATAATAATAATAATAACAACAACAACAACACTTTATTTATATTCCGCCCTTCTCACTCTGAAGGGGACTCAGGGCGAATCATGGTACATATACTTGGCAAATATTCAATGTCGTTTTGTATAGAC